TCTTGCCTATTGTAGAAAAAAGATAAGTCACTTGGACGTGTTTAAATTAAAAACATCTTCCCCTTACGAATCGAATAATATTGACGATAACGAAATTTTCGTCTACAAATTAATTTAATTGAGCTTTATATTGTCAAAATTTGGATTAAAAGCTTAATTATATATTAAAAGTTAAATTAGCTTTATATAGTTAATGTTTATTCATATTTCATTAGCGTTAAATATATTTTAATTTATTCTAAGCTGTTGTTGTCAAACACAGTATTAAATTAATCGATGGTAAATTATAGAAAATGTTATAATGAAACTTTAATGTTATCGTGTGCAAAATAGCACGTGGAAATGTTGAACATAATTTGAATAAATTATTCGATAAGTTATTGTCATTAACAAATATAAAATCGCCTATAGGACAAACATTCGTGTATACGACGATAGTTTTGTTTCACGCAATATCGCATGCCACGCATCAACAATTATTTATTTTTCGGAAGAATTCCGGAAAATAAAGAATCTTTATACCGAGAGTCGAATGTACATCAGTAATTCAGGAAAGAGCAAATCAATGGCCAAATCAATGTAAGATGAAATAGCATTATTCCGAGTGTACTTGCTAAGTTTTATTATTGAGACATTTTTAGAGCGCAAAACTTTCAAGGGAGCCAATGAGGATCACTCTTAGTTCTATGATCATCCTTACTGAAAATGATCCTCGCAGAATGGAATTCCGAATCAAATGTCAAAGTTCGGAGTATTTGTCATTTGTCTGCATGTGATATATTACGTATTTTATCATATATTAATTCTTTATAATCTCTATCGTGCTCCAGTTTCATAAATAATCAGTATTTCCTCATGACGATATTACGTTCGTGTAATTTCCCAGCGAGCTGATTCGTTAGATTACTTTATCCAACACATTTTTTCAAGATTTTCATTAAATAACGTGTGTAAATTGTGATATCGCGTGATCGATACACACCCCGAAAATTCGCACTTTGATTTTGACAGTAAATCGCAATTAATATCGCGTTTCTCCGATTGGTATAGCTCGCATTGAGTTTTGCACAGGTTCTAGACCATTTCACATGCCTTATAGTCGCTAGATAGACAACGAGTGTTATCACTGCGTATATTGAACCGGCATGTGGCGTTGTGGCACTCGGTTGTGTGCCACGTCGATCGAGAGGTATAAAAAAAAAACTCGTGGAAATCAGATATAAAGACTCACTTGCACGCAACAGTTGACTCTCGACTGCTTTGAGCGATCGACATGCCGGTCGATATGCATGAGAACGCTCGAAAACACATTTTAAACCGATAGATAATAGAGTTGTGTGGCAAAAAAAGAACGTGACATTTTCATTAGTTCGCGATTTTACAAAATGTAAGAGCCACACGATTTTAAGATGAGCGACTCCACGTTCGAAAGTTAACACGCAACGACGTCCGCAAAGGAAAATTCGCGAGCTTGTATACCGTACAATTTTTTGTTAACATCGCACATATAAGCAAAACTGCGTATATGTAAAAGTACGAAACGAAATTTTTTCGAGGACGAATTCGGTTCGTGTAGATTAACGAGCGGATCGCTATACGAACGATAGGTAGGATTGAGTAACGGCGCGTTCTTCAAATAGAAATTGTTACAAAACAAAAATTTCCGAGAGAAATAAAAAAAAGAGAAGAAACAGGAACCGATTATTCGTAATCCGTTTGCTCGGATAAAATAGCAATTAAAATAGTAGACAAACAAATAAATGATGAGAAAAACAGTACTCCGTGAATTACGTGATGAAACATTCTAAAAATGGGTCGCTAGCTTCACGGGGGGATCGTCTCGTCTTCTTTACACGCATGTACCAACATCGACCCAGATCCGTGTGAGAAGAATGGTAGCCGAACGACGGTCGAGTTCGTTTCAAAGTAACGTAACTGTTGTCACTTGCTTTACATTCCTATGAACTTTTCTCTCGTCACTTAAGACCGGTTAATTACCACGACTTTTAATTACGCGCAACGAAAGATAGAAATTATCAGACAGAGAAGTACCGCGATCCCCCTGTAACTTATTCTCGGAATATTCAGTACAATCGTATCAGGGCTCGTGTAGTCAACGTTATTCACTTATATGTCGCGCGCGTATATGTCATCTATATTCGTCCCCCTTTTCTCTAGATATAAGAATTAATGCAAAGTCCAAGTGGTTCAGTTCTGTGTGTACACGCGACATGTCGTCCGGAGTGGCCGTGGGCGCTATTTCCGGAACGCTGTTTTTTTTTATTTTTTTTTTATTTTCGATATGACGGATACGGCTTCGAGATCATTGAGCAGAGAAAAACCGGTCGTTCCACACGTTACGCTACAGAACAATCGGTGATAAACGCAAAGCGCCAAATCGCGCGCGCGCGCTCCCTCAGCCGCGTGCTTTTTCGACGAACGGAAAACGCGTACGCGCAAACACGAATACACACGCATCTACACTCATCCACATGTACATACACGTCAACATACGCACACGAGTACACGCTTATATACGGCATACAAAATGAATGCACGTCGTCACACTTTAAATGGCGATCGAACGAAACTCGCGACTGGCGTTTTGACTTATCGTCAGATCGAGTTAATTTACCTCCCTTAGGGGTAGAAAGGTGTCTCCAAGACAAATTGATGTCTAGAGAAATGATTCGTAACTTCGATTAAACTGTCCGTTGCCACAATATCGTAAATCTTTTTCGTTGCAAATATATTAAAGAAAATATTGTTTTTTTATTTTTTTTCTCAGAAAAAGACAGCATGTCAAATTCACGCATACATGATGCATAATCAATAAACTATAAAATAAAAAGCAGTTTGCTTGAAATTGTAAAATTTATATAAAAGTATTATTAAGCACCACTTTCGACCAAACATGACCTTTTTTGCTTATTTGTATTGAATATTTTTCAGTCGATTTTCTTTCACTTAATATTATTTATAAAATAAAACTATCTATTAAAATAAAAATCTATAAAAGAAAAATATCCAATAAAAATCAATTTATGAAGTAAAAGATAATACATTGTTACCAGAGTTTTTCTATTGCTGCGAAGATTTTATAACGTTTTTTATAACTGTAGATTGTCTGTTGTTTACTGATAAATGTCCGATGGTTTTCTCTAAATTAATCGTTCAACATGAGATGCAAAAATACCCCTGTAGAAGCATAATAATCCGACTTGACAGTACGATTCATTCGAATGCATGGATCGACAGAGCCTCACTTACGTAAGATGCCAACGTCAGGCATAAGCCAACCAATCAATCGCGAAATCCAGCTTTAGTGATTGAGCAATAGTATACATTCGCTCGCGATTGGTTTAGGGACTTATCACAGTCTTATGGAATTGATTCTAGTGGCTTGCATGTGCAAAAAGACAACGATCAAGGCCTGCATATACTCTGGATTCATTGTCACAACACACGTGCTAGCAAATGACACTCCACTAATATTGAAAAAGCCTTAATATCAGACATCATTAATATTATTGATCGGCACCATTATGTATAATATTTGTTGTATAAATTCAATATGAGATACATATCTTTAACACTGATAAATATCAAAATAAACAGCAAAATTGTTACGCCACGATATATCAATAATTACTAGTAAATTGAATATTAAATAAAATATAAGAAATTCAATCAAGCCGTATTCCGAATAAAATGAGAATCGAAAAATAAATTTGTATCGGATAAAAGCGTAGCGAATTTCATACAGAATACTCGAGAAAAATTGGTACTACTCGCCAAGAGACCGCGATTGCGATCGAATCAGAGAACGTGCGGTCGTAAGTATGGATCCAGAGCAGCATCCGGCCGCCATATCCCTAGCTCGATCGTTTTCGCGAGGCTTCGTCTCGGACACGAGAGCCACTCGGACCAGCCACTCGAAGCAACAATATAGGCTCGCTGGTCCGTAATCGTGAGAGTTTGTCGACCGAAGCTTCGAGGGAATAACCCGATGTTGACTCAACGAGACTACCCTCGTGTATTCTCCTAATTGAGATCGCGCCATTTTGCCAGCGCGAGTTTCTCGTCCCGCCGAATAAATAATTCCGTGAATCCGTTCGCATTTCTGTTATTTTTTTTCCTTTTTCTCTTTCCCTCTTCCACCGAATTGACTAGAAAAAATCCGCGAGAGATACTTGGTAGCTTAAGCATCGTTTCTCGCTTCCTATGCAATTCTACGCGCCAGCCTCATCGCCGGAAACGTGTACTGCCAGTCTCCGTGCTCACCGTTTATCGTCTTAAGGGGAGCTACCTAATGCATTTTTTATCCAGGAGATTTCAGCCTCCCAACTGACTCAAACCGCTTTGGCTTAGCCATTATACAAATGTATTACCCGTCGATATTGTGCTGCACAACCGCCCAGACAATGACGTGGTTGGCGTAGCGTATCGTCATCACTTCCCTCGTCCCTGGCTTGGTGCACGTCGTGTCAGTCGTGTGTATGCATTTCCTGTATGCACTCCGTATGCGCGAGACATCGCCTTGCGATCGACTTTCATTGCCGCATTACACAGAATGTTTCCAGAGGAAAGGCCAATATTTTGAAAGACAATAATGTCAATCGTTGCGAGTATAAGAGAATCTTAATGAATATATACCTAAATTTGCATTCTCGAGTTTGTGGTGAGATTCTCACGAGATCACCAAGTGAACTTGAAAATACGTATGATTGAAGATGCGTATTCGATCGTAAAATTTTATTATCAATCGCGATATTTACGTATTCTTAAATACAAACTTTCGTGAGTAGCTTCAGAGACGTTATTCAGGACGTACATACTCATATCACTCGCAACGACAAACGTCGTCATCTTTCATACGTCGACCACTTTTTTCGGAACAACCTGTACAGGTTAACATTGTCGATATCGAACACTGGAGGCAACCCTCGTGACACAAGTACAAATGGAACCGAACGTCTACCAATTGATTGCACCACACGCACCGAGCACAAGGACATCTCTAACTGTGTCACTAATTGCCGTCGACCGCCTCAAAGAGATCGCACCACTACAAACGTTCGTTTGCAAGAGTTCGTTTACGATTGGGCATCGATGATGGTTCTTAAATTCGGAAGAGCCCAATCGTCATTTTTGCTATTCGCTTAAACTCATGATTCGTGTTAATTTACTAAGACAGTCGACCACGTAAGTCATTCGAGCGAAACTTCATGCACGACGCAAACGATTCTCGGTGGCCACGATGTCAATCTCTTGCAGTAACGATCCACGCGTTCATCGACCTCTCGAAAGCTCCTTGCATACGCCTAGCGATTCGATGCGCGTACTTTAGTTATGGCAGTCTTTAGAGGTGAGCTGTGCGTTGTTCACGTCTTGTCTATGGTTCAATTGTACCTTCCCCGATTGCAAGGTGCTATCGCTCTTGCTGATTTGGATGGTATCAAGTTGAATATGAAACTGTATAATGTCGTATCTTCCATCACTGTACGTAAACGCGATTGCGAGCGTAACGCTTTCATCCAGCTGTGAAGAGTAGTCTGTGCACAACAATAATGATGCGTTAGCTTTGATCATTGTCACACTGACGCGATCACACTTAAACGCGAGATTCGTCCGGCACATTTTATTCCTGTTCACTACCGCCCGCCCGGCACTCGTGAGGACAACTCTTTTTTTTTCTTCTCCTTCATTCTTCCCTTAGCAGTCGGTGTCGTCCTCCTGGTGCCGTCTACGTAGCTCCAGATAACGGTGCCGGGCATCGCAGTAATGAAGTAGCGGTACCTAGACGTCGGTACCGGTGCCCTCCTGATAACCCTCATCGGGCGAGCTGCGCGTGGATCCCAGGACGCGTTTCAGCGCCGAGACCGGCGGCAGCACCGGGACGCCCTTTTGCCAGACTCTCATCTGCTTCGCGCCGGGTGGAAATTGCTCGACGACCGGCGCGACCACCGCGAGCTGCTCCTTCGACGGGTACACGTTCGCCGAGACGGCGGACGTCCTGCCGCAGCTGTCCCTCGCCTCCCACAGGCAGCTGGTGTAGAGCATTTTACCGGCGTCGTCTAGCGCTTCGACGCGGCCGTAATCGGCGACGCCGTAAGGCGTGATGTCCTCGGTGGAGCCGCGCCGAGTGTCCCTGATGAGATCCGGATTATCGATCGGCATCAAGGACGTCGTCGACGAGAAACACCCGGCACCCGGCATCGCCGCCACCACGGGCTGATTCTGGTCGTCGAAACGGCTGATTGTGCTGTACTCGTTCTCCTGCATTACGGCCGCGTGCGGTCTCTGCACGTAGCTCAGATGCAGCGACGCGGGTGGCTTGGACTCTAGGGCGAACGACGTCGTCTCGATCTCCTCGTGTTTCCTGCGAGTGGTCGAGGTTGCGGACGGTGGATTGTTGTCACCACCGCCGCCGCCGCTACCATTACCGACACCGTCACTGGACGCCGCTTCCATCGGCGCCGACGACTTTACGTCCTTTAGCGGCATTTTCCGCAAGCGAATGAATAACACGAGAATGATGAGTAGGATGAAGAGTATGAGCACCACCAACGCGGCGGATATCCCCGCGATCTGGCCCGAGCCTAAAGTCGACATGCCCGCCGTCCTTAGAGACACGTGCAGGGTGAAATTTGCCTCAACGGAGCCAGCGGGGTTCTCGGCGACGCAGTAGAACTCGCTGGAGTCCGCCTCCTGCGCGTTAGTGAGAATGAGAGTGCTCCGCTTCCTAAATTGGCCCTCCTCGAAGATGAGGATCTTTTGGTAGCTGCTGAAAGCCGAGTGATTGGTCAACAACCGGCCGTTCCAGTACCACTTGACGTCTGCTGGTGGTACCGCGCTCACGCGACACACGATACTAGCGTTCTCGCCGATGGTGGCCTCGGCATAACGGCTGGCTATCAGCAAAATCGGCCGGCAGGCAAAGTCGTCGATACCGAGGTCGGTGAAGGCACGATCGAGCAACTGCTGGGGCCCGTGACATACGGGTGCCACAATGGTCGGTAGATTGTGCTTTACCAGCCACATCTTCATCTCACGTAGATGACAATCGCAGATCCACGGATTTTCGTGCAGCTCGATGCTAGTGAGCTTATTAAGCGGCTCGAAGGTGCCCGGGTGCAGGGTGGACAGTTCATTGTTGCTCAGCTTGAGACTCTCGAGCATTTCCAGTCCGCGGAAACCTTTGGCCTCGATCTCGACGAGCTGCGTGTGCGACAAATCGAGCTTCACTAGATTCGGCGTGTTCTTAAACGCGTGCGAGCGAATTCGCTTAAGCGGATTGTACGCGAGCACCAAATCGCGCAGGAATGGCGTGTCGGTGAAGCTCAAACTCGGCACCGCGGCCAGCATATTGTTGCTGAGATCGAGCTCCACGAGATTCGTCAAGCCGGCCAATGCCTCGCTATCGATCCGATCGATACGACACTCACGCAAGTAGAGACGCTGCAGATTCGTTAGTCGCACGTGTATAAATATGTTGTTTGGCAGGTGACAGATGTTGTTGCCGCTCATGTCCAGCACCTGGGTCTCCGGATCGATCCACTCCGGTATGCTGGTCAGGTCGCGATTCACGCACTCCACCGTGCGCTTCCCGCTCTTCCACTTGCACGAGCACTTGTCGGCACAATTGTCGCTGGCTGCCACACCGAGTACCGTCACCGCGTACAACAGAAACACCGAAACCCCCATGATGGATCGTTATTGTCGTCGTCGTCGTCGTCGTCGTCGTCGTAGCGAACTTTGGTCGTCCCACGACTCGATTCGCAACTCTTCTTTTTCTCTTTCTCTCTGTACCTTGCTTTCCCGACGACACTCGGGATTCGCGCACGTCGTTTCAACGACGGCCGAGAAGCGTCTCCCGCACAGGGAAGCCTCTGGGGAGCGATCTTACGCCCATCCTCCTCCTTTCCGTGTACTCGTACTTGTACGTTCCTTCCTTTCTTCCTCTCTGCACCTTCCTTCCTCCTAACCGTTCTCTTCCTTACGATTCCCCTTTTACTGGCTGCACTGCTCCTTTCGTACACCTCGAAATTTATACGCCCGCTCCAGAATCCTCACTGCGCACCGTAGCGAACTACAAGGGGAAACGAAATTGAACGGACCCGTTTCGTCCATTCGCAAATCCTTCCCCAACGCTCCTTATCCTTACGATGTTCACGTACTCGTTACGTTCCTTCGCCTTCGCTCTGCGCGAGCAGCGCGCGCTCCGTTCGACGAGCCCAAACCACCGAGGACGTCCCTTCGGATTTTCGATCAGCCACTTCGTCGAGTATCCATTGGCGGCGTCACACGTGCGCACACGCGACCAGCACATACGACGTCACTACTAGACAGACGAACAAGGCGGACAAGCTCTCGTCATCGTTATCCTCCTCCTCGTCGTCGTTCTTACGTAAATCTATGTCCACCAACGTGCACCACTCGCGTCGTCGCCGACGAGAAGCACCTCGACGCCTCCGCCACGCCGTATCGACTGTAACCGCACCACTACCACCAGCGACGACACCACCACCGCTACCACCAGGCCACCACCGCTACCACTCACATCACCGTCCGCCGCCGCCGCTACTACGGAAGCACCCCTGATACCCGAATTCTCACGATGTGCCCCGTCGTGCTAGCCGAGCGTAACGTTGTCCTCCTCGTTGTGCGGGGGCCAACGTACGAGGGTTCGCGAGTGTCTCCCCTATAGTGTACTCCTTGTCTCTGTCTCTGTCTTTCTTTCTCTTTTTCTCTCTTTCTTCTACTCGCTATGTCTGTCGACGTCTCTCTCTCTCTCTTTCTCTCTCCCTCCCTCTTTCTATCTCTCTTCCTCTCTTTTTTTTCTTTACGTTTCTATCTATCACATTTACGCGCGCGCGCGTTCCCTTACTTGAAGGAAAAAAACGGCGACGGCGACACCAGCGACGTTCGGCGTCGTCGTTGTTGAAATGCGAGACTGCGAGACTGCGAAACTCCCGGCTGCGAAACAGAGAGACACCCTCTCGCACGGCTTTCCTCTCCTCGTATCTTCATCTCGCGTCGTCCTTTCTCCGTCTCTCTTCGTCCTTTCATACGTCCATACGTCCGTACTCTGCTAACATCCCCTCGCACCCTTTGGCACCCCCTCACCCCGTTGCATACGCTGGGCCGCTCGGGAGGGAAAACGCCGACGCGAAGTAGGGCGCACCCTTCTTCCACGCTCGCTACAGGGTGGTCGGAAAGAACTTGAGAGATAATAGCAAGATATCGAAATGAATTTTCTGTTTGAAAAGATCAAGTTCGAACCGTTTAACTTTGAAAGCTTTAGAGGAACTTGAGAAGTTTTAGCAGATCAGAGTAGTAGAATTTTTTTTGACGACTCACTATTACGACGTTTAGTAAACGTGAAGAAAAATTGGGTAATTATTCAGTTTAGCTACCCCACCTCAAAAATCAATAAAAATAGGCTTATTCGATACGTTTTTGCATGAAACGAAAGAATCTGGCAAAAAAAGTATCGCTCTGCGAGCCGAGATGTTAAGCGTTAAAGTTCGAGATTTTAGAGGTTAAGATATCTGTCATTCCGACTCTCTACTTAGCTTCTTCTTCTTCTATATTTGTATGGCCCGGGTTCCAACTTAGTTGGATTTACGTGGCCAATCTTCTCAAAGTAATAATGTAATGCAAATCACAGTTATAGCCGAAAACGCTTTTCAGCAAAAAATTAATGAGATGATGCAATACCCGAAACAGGGCAGACACAGGTCCATCCTGCTCGAGCGGTCTTGCTAGACTTGACTGTGCGTACTGCGTGTCGACTTCTGCTACTTAGCTATTTTAGCTACAGCGTTACATATACGTACAATCTGTTCTTTTTCGAAGAATTCTGAAATAGTGCAATAAGTTATAGCGCATTTCACTGGCAGAGCTGGTGCGCACTCAGTGCACTTTAAAGCTGTTGTACACAAATCGACATAAAAATGTACGTTTAATAAAAATATAGAAATAAATTAAACCACGAAATCCTTAATACATTTTATTGTGATATTTGATAAAATATACATTGGGTATTTTATTAACTGAGATCTCTCACGTTTACAATCAGATTAGGTTAATGTACAACAGCTTTAATGTGTACTGAATGCGCACCAGTTCTGCCAGTGAAATATGCTATTAGAGTGAAACAGTGTAGTTTGGAGCACTTTCATCTGATTGGTCTATATTTTAGGATCTAATGGAATATGCCAATCAGATGAAAGAGCTCATTAAGCGGTCAACAAGCGGTTGTCGTTCTGGAATAAATACTTCTTTGCTGTAGATTGATTCCATTTGATTGTAATAAAATGGCATATTCAGTAGAGCAAATGAATAAAAATCCTTGGCTTTCTGTCCAGGATGTTGTTGGGCATGCAAAGTTGTGGCCAAAATTTATCCGAAAATTATTCTCGGATCGGAATTTAACCGATCACAAACGAATGATTATCGTAAATTTCTCCATTTTAAATGCAATTTCGGAAGACTTTTTACACACACGACATTTTATCATTTACATTAAAAAAGTATACAAAAGATCGAAAATGCACAATTCACTACAGATTTAATTATTTAAATCATGAGGTAATATCATTAATTTTAATTAACGAATTAAGTAATACATAATGAAACATCTGTAACATTTTGTAAAATTTATAGGAATTTGGACGAGAACGGCGAAGTCGTGTTTATAGCTTTAATGTATATTTTAAAGAAATGTTGGACTTAAATTTTAATCCATATAAGAAAAATTAAAAAGGTATACATTTTAAATAATAAGAACTATTCTATGCTTTAAAAACACAAAAGTACTATTTTAAAAACAACAATTCACCGCTTTAAAAACGACAATTCACTGCTTTAAAAACAATAATTTACTACTTTAGAAACAATTCACTACTTTGAAAACAATTCACTGCTTTAAAACCAATTCACTGCTTTAAAAACAATTCACTGCTCTAAAAACAACAATTCATTGCTTTAAAAATACAAATTCACTGCTAATGCAAAGAATTTGTATGTTTAAAATAGTATATTGTTGTTTTTAAGGCAGTAAATTTGAATTGTTTTTAAAGTAGTCAATTGTTGTTTTTAAAGCAGTGAATTTGTGTTTGTAAAGTAGTGAATTTGTGTTTGTAAAGCAGAGAATTTGTGTAATTAAAGCAGAAAATATTTTTAGGAATTAATGTTGGTCACGTGACCACAGCACAGAATTGTTTTATAAGATATTGAATATGTAAATATAATGTTTATATATATATATATATATATAAGTCTTTAAGTTCTGAACTGGAGTACATACAATAGTACAATAAGTTAGAATGAGACAGCTGTAGTTTGTCTCACTCTAACTCATTGCACTATTTCAGAATTCTTCGAAAAAGAATAGGGGTGATCCCGATTGATCACGGCTCGATTGGACACCACCAATCACAGCGACCGGTGCTTAGGAGCTTTGTAGTCTCAAGCGCTGTGAGTGGCTGGCTCGTGTCCAATTGAGCCGTGTCCAACTGGGTGCCACCCAAAGAATAGACCTTACGTTTACGTAGCGCTGCAACGAGTCGGAATGACAGATATCTTAATCTCTAGAATCTCGAACTTTAACGCTTAATATCTTGGCTCACAGGGCAGAGCGACACTTTTTTTGCCAGATTCTTTCGTTTCATGCAAAAACGTATCAAATAAGCCTATTTTTATTGATTTTTGAGGTGGGGTAGCTAAACTGAATAATTACCAAAAATTGTAATAAAGTTTCTAGTGAAATTTTCACCAAGACTAAATAATCTAAAAAAATCATTAAAGAAGACATCATATAGTTTGAATTTTTTTACGACACCCCGTATATAGACACACGAAACACACACACATGACCATCGTGATTCGAGTCTACACCACCCCTCGTACCCTGCAATCGCGCGCGTACGTTCTCCAATGCCCCAACATCTCTCTCTCTCTCTCTCTCTCTCTCTCTCTCTCTCTCTCTCTCTCTCTCTCTCTCTCTCTCTCTTTCTCTCACTTTCTCTGTCTGTTTTATTTCCACCCTGTCTCCTCTCTCCCCTATGCTGCCTATGGATACTCTCCCTGTAACAAATCCCCACTTCCAACCCCCAGCGGCAATAGTCGGCTCGTGCGCCCTACACGCCGAGTCGAATCGGGAGCATTTCTATCCCCTACCAACAATCGGGCAACCCCACCCTGGTCGCGGAGCGGGGGACCACCTTCTATCCCTAAACGGGTATGACGGGGGCGCGCGCATATCGTAGTCGTCGCTACACTCACCCCCTCCCCGGATTCCCTCATCCTCGTCACGAGAGCCTCGGTGCTTCGCGTCTCTTTATCCTTAGGAACTTTCTCCCCCCCCTCCCCCTCGTTCTCCACATCCTCGCCACTCCGTTCTGCCGATCTCACCGCCGAATCCCGCACTCTCGACATATCGAATGCTACGTCACAGCGAGGAGATATACGGCTATTTCGCAAAGTGGTTAAATGCACTGCCAGATTACGGGGTGGAGGGCGGGCGGTCTTGGCGCTCGGTGTCGCCGTCGGCCCGGCTGCGATATCGGCCACAGAATCGTAGAATTCCATCGTAGAATTCCGCTCGCGTGGCGAGCGAAATTCGTGGTCTCCTAAGATCCCGTATTCCGGTCGCATACTCGGCGCTAAACGCGTGCTTGCCCAATTCTCGTGCCGTACAAATAAGCGACGCTTCCTTGGAACATCGAAAGTTTAAATTTTAACGATAGTTCAATTGTCTCTCTCTCTCTCGCTCTCACTCTTTTTACGTTCGATGTTTAGAAAGAAACGGAAGAGATCGTTGAACAGTTGGAGGGAATTCGCTTGATCTATTAAAAGCCGTGAAAGATACAGTATTTTCCGTGATAAATTTACAGAAGAAATAACAGAGAGATAGATATTTTATTCATTATCATTCATCATAATTGAAAACATCCCCATTCTTTCGTATCTCCAGACTTGGGTAACACATCCCCAATCTGGGGTTAACGGACGTCCCGGGGATCGGTCCTAAAGCCCACACACTCCAATGGCCACGCTTAGTGCGCTAAATGTGGCGGCGAAGATAGAAGTAGAGGAATACGGGTCAGGATATTTTTCGTTTCTTTATACCACCGTTTTCTTCTACATAGCATCCTTGTATCCTTCTCCGCCGCTATCGTCGCATTGTCGTCGCCTATATATTCGAGCCGGAGGGATGTGTATGGCATACGGACTCCCTCGACCGTACGAATCTCTCTTTCTCTTTTTCTCCCCCTTGCTCTTCTCTCCCCCGGAGTCTCCAGAGTCTCGACCCTGCAAACGACTCGTGGAAAAATAATTCAGAAAATGAGAGAGCCACGACCTTAGAAAGATGGGATTCGGCTGAGGAGTGAGAAAGAGGAGGGCGGGAGAAAGAGGAACGGCTGGATTTCGTTATGCGGCGAGAAGAATGACACGTTAGCAGTGGTGGACGAGATGGAGAAGTGATTCGTAGTATGTGTCGTGTACAAATTCTCCCTGAAGGACCTCTTAGACCTAATTGGCCGTCCAAATCGATATCTGCCTGTCCGTTGTCGGCAAAATTGCGACGTGTTCTCTCTCTCTCTCTCTCTCTCTCTCTCTCCCCCTTCTCTCTTTCAAGAAAAAAAGGAAGAGATGATTCAAAGTGACGAGATAATAAATCTTACACAATCGATCCGGAAGAGGGTCGTAGAATTGTGCTTTCTTTCGTCATTTCATTTTGTATGCTTTATGAAAATAAATAGAATCGACCTGT